AAGGGGTCTGGGGCCAGGTAAGGCTGAGGCCGCCTGAGCCCCGATTACGAGTAGCGGCCCGAGTTGGGCAAGGATCACGGGGTGCGGGCCCGAGTGTGGGTGACTGTGAGATGTATGAGGGGCACTGCCTGGAAGGGGGAAGCCCCAAAAGGGGGCGAGCCCAGATAGAAGGCCCCAGTGTGGGGGAGCGCGGGCATAGAAGGCCCCAGTGTGGGCGAGAAGCGCGAGGCACAGGCCCTGGTTGGGGGTGAGAGCGCATAAGCTTGGGGAGATAGGCCCCAGTGGGGCACGGTCTATACGGGAGAAGCCCCAGAAGGGGGCGAGCTTGTTGAGGCCCCAGGAGAGGGAGAGCATAGTGAGCAGGCCCCAGGAGAGGGCGATAGTAGGACTTACGGGTAGCCCCTAATGCTAGAGTGCACTGGGGCAACTGGACGTCAAGGCAGATAGAAAAGGCAGCCTCCCTGAAACATTTAAACATCAAAGACGTGGCGGGCGAGATTGGTGAGGATGCATTGATCCCGGCTTGACACGGTAGCCAGGGGGCGCTAGGGGAGGTCACGGCACCCCTAAGGGTGCCCTGCCACAGATATTCAGTATCAATCATTCACCCAGTCACAAGAGTGAAAGACACAGATTGCATTCATCATGGTAATCTCTGCTAGAAGTTTATCAATTAGATTCATATGCCACTCTCCCAAAAAAGTCTCAGGGCCACTCAGAATATAAACAAGGTAAATCATAAAGGAGATATTTTATTATAATAAAATGGTAAGTGATAAAACAATTCCCTAAACAATATCCCCACATTTCTAGCTACTAGAAATTTTTAATATCTCTGTGGGTGCATCTACATGAGATGCTTGCTGTGGAGTTGACTAACTTACTCTGCAGTAAAATACCACCGTCTACGTGTGTGGTGCTATTAGGACGGAGTAAACTCTGCCATAGGATAGTACTGCAACTCCTAGAAGCAATACATCTGGCATGAACTGTGCTGGAATTTATTCAGTCACATTAATTGCACATGTAGATGCACCCAGTGTGTTGGAGCTAGGTGTCCTATTAATTGAAGTTGTTAACTGAATGCTCTCTCCACTTCAGATCATGGTCTTTTTCTTTCTTCTTTTTTTAATGTTTCACATTATTCATCAAAACTTTTTATTTAACAAAAAGTATGTTAAATAAAACCAGAACATCCACTGGACCTAGAAGACTGAGTAAATGAGTGGACTGATTGCTGTAATTCTTATGTTTTGTCAGAACAATAGAGGGGCAATGCGTTTCTAAAATGTCTGTTTAGGACTGAATGCATTATAAAATGTCTAGCATGATCAATAATGATAAATCCATTAAACATTTTAAAACAGTAGAAAAACACTAACAGACTATGTTGGGTTTTTTTGCATCATCTGAATGTTACCTTCTTATCTTGATCTAAACTTCCATTCTCCCCCTCAGATCTTCTTGCTGCTAAAAGAAAAAAATATGTTGAAGGGTTAAAGTAGTTTCTCTTCACTGTCTTTTTTTTTAGCATTTTGATTGTGATCCTGTTTCAGGATTCTAAAAAGAACATTAAAATCCAACCCTCACCCCCCAAAGGAACATGGGTATGGTGCCAGACTTGTTTAAAGTAACTTTTGAAATGATTAAAGTGATTCAAATGCTCTAAGTTTAAAATCCACTCACAATAGAATTTTAACCTACCTTTTTAGGTTGGATGGCTGGATGCTACTTTTGTGCACTTGACTGGAGGAGGGGGAGTAAAGCACACAGTACCTTAGAGTCAGATTGTGGGCCATCCTTATACCACTGCTCGGGGGGGTAAAGCACTTCTATTTTCCTCTGTGTTGCCATGTGGATGGTAATAAAAATGATCACTGGGGTATATAACCAGATCTGCATATCTAGTCTGCACCACTCCCCCTGTAGGCAGGTAGACAATGGGCCGTACCTTGGTTCTACCATCTGAATATGACAGACAGGAAAGGTGAGCCAGTGGAAAGGAAGGGTGGGGAGATGGGGAAGAGACATGTCCTCCTTAAAGTTTTTTTTTCAGTAATTATTTCACCCCAGCAGTGGAGGAAGATTATGATATCAGAGGAAAAAAAAATCCTCCACCAGGCTCCTTCTAAACTATGCTATGCTGCTTAAAAATTGCAGCAGAAAACCTCGTGATCCAGTCCTTAATGATCAACATTATGGCATCAGAAAGAGAAAAGGTTTTTCAGTGGTTACAGTTACCCACAGCCCAGTAGATTATTTTCTGAGTCTATCACTTTGCTGGAGAACAGTCTGGTAAAGAACCTTGGCTGATATTATCTTGCCACTACGTGGTATTTCTTATTCCTATTAGAACCTCAGTATCTTCTCATCTCCTTCAGTTTTCTGGCCACTTTTGTTGTTTAGTTTCAGAGAGACAAGAATCCAATTGCACACAACACTGATACGCATGAGATAACTTATCAAATCCTAAATCCTTTGCACTACTGCAAAACTCTATAGTTAAATTCATATTAGAATGAAACTGGAGTAACACAGGTGTATCTTAAGCTCTCCTTATTCATGGGACTTTTCCCACTTCTGCTCTCCAGAATATTTCATCTCAATTCTACAGATCCAAAGTGCAGGTATATATAAAAATGGTATAATTTTAACACCAGAAGAAATGTACCAATAAAATATATCACCCACATCTTATATTGGACAACTACATGGTTGGGATAAACTGAGACATGCTTTTAAGTATCACATTAAACTGCTTCAAGTCTCCCCTGGCTACAATATCAGTTCAATACTAACAATATAATGTGTCAAACTCGTATTTCTGAAACCTTGCCACCTATAACAGACAAACAGCTCCATTGTAGTGTTTTTTTCCTTAGCTAAAATTTCTAGTCAGTAATTTTTAATCTTCCTAATGAAATGATGAATGAAACACTAAGACCAGGACTAGAAATAAGCTCAGGAAATTTAGACGTATGAGACTATAATCCAGGAGTGAATACTGGATATATTTGAATTTTAATTCATGCTCATCCTGAAAAACCAATGCTTCTGAAAAAGTTTTAGTTTCACAAATTGGCATTTTTTGTAAAAAATCAATCCATCTGGTCCTTGAAAACAATTTGATCATACATAGTCACATAAAGGAAACCAGTCCACCAACTGTTAGCACCAACTTAGTGAAGGGACAGTGGAGGGGCTGGATGTGTTTAAGTCAGCAGGCCCGGATGATCTTTATCCAAGGGTACTGAAGAATTGGCCGGTGTCATAGCAGAGCCACTGGCATGGTTGTTTGAGCACTCGTGGTACTCAAGTAAGGTCCCAGAGGACTGGAAAAGGTCCAATGTGGTCCCTATTTTCAGGAAGGGGAAGAAGGAGGATCTGGGTAACTGTAGACTGGTTAGTCTCACCTCTATCTCAGGAAAACTTTTGAAAAAATTATTAAGGATCACATCTGTGGGAGTCCAGTGGGAAAAACAATGCTGAAGGGCAACCAGCATGGAATCATAGCAGGTAGATCCTGCCTGACTAACTTTGTTTCTTTTTATGACCAGGTCACAAAATGCTTAGATGCAAGAACTGAGGTAGATGTCATCTACTTGTATTTTAAGAAAGCCTTGGATACAGTATCTCATCCGATTCTCACAGATAAACTGAGTGGCTGTGACGCAGATGATAACACAGTCAGGTGGGTGGCAACTTGGCTTAGGGGTCACACCCAGAGAGTGGTGGTGGGTCGGTATTGACCTGGAAAGATGTGGGCAGTGGAGTCCCACAGGGCTTGGTCCTTGGACCTGTGGGGTTTAATGTCTTCATCAGTGACTTGGATGAGGATGTGGAAAGCACTCTGTACAAATTCTCATATGATACCAAATTATGGGGTAAAGTTAACACACTAGAGGGTAGGGAATGAATCCAGGCAGATCTGGACCGGTTGGAAAAGCAGGCAGAACAGAATAGGATGCAGTTCAACAAGGACAATTGCAGGGTGCTACACCTAGGTTGAAAGAATCACCAGTGTGCTTAAGGCTGGGAGAGGACCTTCTCAGCAGCACAGCAGTGGGAAGGGATATCAGAGTCGTTGTTGACAACCAAGATGAACATGAGTTGTCAATGTGAAGAAGTGATCAGTAAAGCCAACTGCACTTTATGATACATTAGCAGGTGCACGACAAACAGGTCCAGGGAGGTGATACTTCCCCTTCATGCAGAATTGGTCAGGCCACAGTTGGAGTACTGCATCCAGTTTTGGGTGCCACACTTCAAGAGGGATGTGGACAACCTTGAGAGGGCCACTCATATGGTTAGGGGCCTGCAGACAAAGCCCTAGGAGGAGAGATTGAGGGCCCTGGATCTCTTCAGCCTTTGCAAGAGAAGGCTGAGAGGTGATCTTGTGGCCACCTATAAATTCATTGGTGGGGGAAGGGGGTAGCAGCAAGGAATAGGAGATGCTCTGTTAACCAGGGCATCCCTTGGAGTAACTAGGAACAATGGCCACAAACTGATGGAGAGCAGATTTAGGTTAGACAGCAAGAAGAACTTCTTTACAGTAAGAGTTGCCAGAATCTGGAATGGGCTTCCAAGCATGGTAGTGCTCTCCCCTACCTTGGGGGGTCTTTAAGAGGAGACTGGACAATCACCTGGCCAGGGTCATCTAACCCCAGCACTCTTTTCCCAGGGCAGGGGTTGGATGAGATGATCTGCAAAGGCCTCTTCTGACCCAAACATCAATGAAATTAGGGTCCAGAGAGACCATCTGAGTCCATAGGCCTCAACTCTGTGGAGCTCCATTGTAGATTATATGACTTCAGGGAGTCTAAACAAAGTCAGTAACGAGATACATG